TGATCATTTTTGCTATTCAAAGTTTCTGTCTATCTATTATGATTTTCGAGATAATAGGGAAAAAATTTTTTAAAATAGTAAAATTCATCATATAAGGTCAATAACTCCTATAACAAGTCGTCTGACATGATGTAAACTGACAACAGTTAGAGCTTAACATTCTGAACATTTTTGCTCTCGTCAGAATTTCTATATCTATAGCTGTTTTTCAAAGTGATAGGCAAAACTTGTATTTTACCCCTATGTCCTATTTTTAGCCATGTCGGACATCTTGGTTGGCAGGCAGGGTCATTGGACACATTATCAAACTAGATAGCGTACCCCTATGTTGATTGTGGCCAAGTTTGGTAAAATTTGGCCCAGTGGTTTCAGAGAAGATTTTTGTAAAATTTAACAGACGACGCTGCAGCCGTCAATGACGGAGATGGACAACAGACGATGGATGCCAAGTGATGAGAAAAGCTCACTTGGCCTTTGCCAGGTGAGTTTAATATAAGGAGATGTCAGGTATGATTGTCAGTGAAATTACTACCTGCCAGAGTTCAAATGACTTGGATGCATAAAGTACTTATATGTCACTGAACAGCCTTCAAAAATGAGCTAATCCCATTACATATGGTCAGCTGCAACTTGGAAGGATGTCACATGACATCACATAACATATCACATGACATCACATAACATAATATAAGTGTTGGGTCATAATGCAGTACATTACTAACAAACTACTCTTTGGCCAACATAAATTTTTCAACAATGTCCATAGGAAATTAATAACAATTGATTTTAATGGCAGACGAGAACAATTTGATCTAAACCAGTTCACTTTTATAATCCCATAAAAATACTTGAAACAAACTTAAAGTATTCCCTAAGTAAACTAATGTTTTCAACATTTCTGGGGTGAAAATGGAAATTTGCAATCCCATCATTAATAGTGAGGAAAGTAAGCTTGCTTGTCCCCAAAGATTTCAAAAACAGCTAATGATTTTTAAGAAAAAGAAATCCTGAAACAATCAAAATCTAAATGAGTACTTGAATGAAAATTGATGAACCCATGAATGGTTTATGATGTAAGTATTGGATTTCTACATATAAATATTATCTGAATATCAGAATCTCTATTTGTTCTCCTTTCCAATTTTAAAATGAATTAGTTAACCTCTATCTAATAACAGAAAATGTTTCATGTAATTCCTGACACAGTTTATTGACTACAAGTTTTAATCAACTCATCTAGACCATCAAATCAAATCTACTATGTCTTCTCCTATCTGGTAAATATCAGGACTTCTCAAATTAGATTCAACTGAGTGCTTAAAAGCTGAAAAAATCATATTCAAAGTTCAAACAGTTCTCATTGTTTTCCCTTATTTATCAATTCTACTGGTTCACAGTATCAGAGAAAATATTTTATTTAAAGTTTATGAAATTATAGACAACTTATTTCAATATCCCTTTTTAGGTATATATCTAACTTACATCAAGATATTATGGGTAATGCAAAATGATAGCTTTAAATTAATATTTAGAAGTGGTTGTTGCAGGAATCTGACCTTTTTTTTAGGACAAAGCATGATAACCGTAGAATATATATAGTGTAAATGAATCTGTTTTACTTGTATACATACTCAAATATTAATGTGCAAGGCAAAGCAATCTAAGCAAAATCCAATTAAACAATCATCCTGAATCTTATATACTGGGTAAGTAGTTACATATAATCTTATATACTGGGTAAGTAGTTACATATAATCTCATATAAGCAGTCACATTGATATGTTACCAAACCAATACTCTGGTTATCAACAATGTTTTTTTCATAATATATTTGCTATAGTTTATCAACTCCCAATGAATAAATATAATTCGTAAAGGAATATACTATATGATACTTTGCTATATAAAAGGCAACCTTTGAAACAACACAAACTTTATTCTATTAAACTGCAAGTAATGGTTAGCTTACTTTGCACTTTCTAAACTCCTTAAAATGATGTTAACCAATAATTTTTGTTCCACAAATTAATACACACATTTCTTTCGTTAGTGTTTGGGATCTACAGGACATATAATTCTTAATACTAGAAAACTTTAACATGAAAGATATCTAAATAATAAATTGGTCTAAACTTTTGATAAATATTTACTTAAATAAGGGGAGTTTAAATTTACAAAAATGATATTTTACATTAAAGTTTTCATAGTAATCAATAACAACATCAACAAATTTTTATCTTATAATTTTTTTTTAAACCGGAATATAAATCACTAGGTTGTGAAAATGTTGTCATAGTTACATGAAATATGTCATATCAGAATAATTACCATATATTTAATCTATAAACCAAATAAATTTTGCATGTCATTTATAGCAGGTATGATACCAAACTAATCAGGGAATCTAAATGATGAACAAGAATGGAAATGTTTAAAATGACACATGTGAGACTAGCCCCGATGAAGTCACTCCCTGGATCCAATGGATTTGAAGATGGAATCAAGTTTTTTAAGACAATAGCATACATTAAATATAGGAAAGGTTATGAGGTTGTACAAAGCTAACAACACCTGAAGATAATACTCTGCCTGCCTGATTTTGGTCCTTTTTTTTAGGGAAAATGATGTAGTGTTGATTTGAGGCTTCTTTTAAAGGTTTTTTGGCTATTATTCGTAACAAATAGCATATCTGGTGAATAAATTAAGTTACTATTTGTGGATAAAAAAGTTATCCGTAATAGTATACATTACTTATCTTACTTTTTAGATCAACTGCCAGGTCTAAATTATCCAACTTGATATATAAGGTCAAGATTTTTAAATATTGCATGAACTTTTTGAGGTTGTGAGTTCAAGTCCTGCAGGTGGCAGGAGCGTTTTGACTCCAATCTTAATTGACTAGGATTGGCAGTTTTCCTATAGAAGGTCTGTTGTTTTCTAGCCAACAGTGCTGAAAGAGGCATTAAACCCCATTCAATCAATCATGAACTTTTTAAAAATAAACAACAACAATAAATTGCTACGCGAGCGCAGCTGGATACAACTGCAGAGGTCCAACTGCAGAGGTCCAACCCTGAACAGTTGGGGCAAAAATGGACACAATATTCACACTTGATACAGGTCTGAATATGGATTGTAATTAAATATTTGACACATAATAGGTTTCTGACACATAATAACTGTGGTCAAAGAACTTAGAATTGGTTACATGATTTGAATTTATATTCAATTTTTCGCTTTTATGCAATACACTTTGCTGTTGCGAAAATGACATACATAATCATGGCTAAAATTAATATTCCTTAATAGTAACTTCTAAAAAAAATTGACAGCTAATCATCTCAAGACAATACAACATTTCTTTATACATAATTTAAAAGCAGTGTAAGGGAGGTAATCAAAATGTTGTGTTTGGATTACCTCCCTTACACTGCTTTTAAATTGTCTTAAGTAATTGTCCATTAACCAGGAAACCCTTGTTTTTCCCCTTTTTTTGCCCCTAATTCCTAAACGGTTTGGGCCATAACCCCCCAAAGCAAATCCCAACCATCCCTTTGTGGTATGGAAACTTGTGGTATAATTTCAGAGAGATCCATACAACTTTCCACAAGTTATTGTCTGGAAACCAGAAAAATGCTTATTTGGGCCCCTTTTTGGCCCCTAATTCCTAAACTGTTAGGACCATAACCACCAAAATCAATCCCAACCTTCCTTTTGTGGTTATAAACCTTTCGTTTCAATTTCATAGATTTCTATTTAATCATACTTAAGTTATTGTCCGGAAACCAACTGTCTTCAGACGAAGCTGACGACGACAACGTGATACCAATATACGACTGCAAAAAATTGCAGTCATATAAAAATAGTCCAGTGAAACCATTTTACAATCTATAAATAACAGAAAAAACAAATTTATCTAATAAATAAAAGCAGGTGATAAGACATCACACATCAGAGTTAAATGCACACTTCACAAAATCTTAATCAAGGATCAAACAGAAGTTATTATTTATTAATCATCTTTCCATGCTTAACAAGATATCCGGGTTTTTCATGGTTCTGCCTCATTTTTAATTTGGCTTATGAAGTGAAGAAACAAATTACTTGTATCAATTTAAACACACTAAAAAATTGTCCTATGCTTAGAATGCATTTAGGTCAAAAATTTCCAGTCTGTAAATAATGAAAAAGAATGAATAAGTGTTCTTATGCTAAGCATACCCCACTCGTAATTCATTACTGAAGTATTGGAAAACAGGAAGCAGTAGTTGGACAGATTCAAAAAGGGCTCACATGATACAATTTACCACTGCCTAGCTGTTATCACAATATGATCTCAATCTGTTCAGTAGTTCTTGAGAGAAAAGTGTTACACAAAATTTTAAGTTCATTCAACATATTGAAAAATCTAAGGTATCAGCAAACAGGAAGTAGCTGTCAAACAGATCCCACAAAATCAAAACTATAAAACCCATCACTGACAAACTGCTGACAAAATATGAAGTTATTCTTTTTATATTTGTTGGACAAACTGACTTATACATGAATGGATAAACAGACAGAATGTGACATGACGAACAAGGTAAATGCAATATATCTTCCAATCAAGGGGGTATAATAATAATAATTAAGAATTTAAATCTATTTGGTTTTCTTCCTTTGTATTCTAATTTGTAAAAATAATTCAATTAGAACTTTTAGTGCTTTTCCCTCATAAAACAAATTGTTAGATATTTTATCTTTTGAATGACAACTGACAAGCTATATATTCATTGATTTGCTTTTTTCTGTACTCTGTACATTGGAAGACTGGAGTCTGTGACAGTGGTAGATTTCTCTGCATTGAAGATTAATTCCCCAAATAACTTAAATAAATAAAAATTAAAGAAAATCTACTGACTAATTAAATCCAAAGTGTATTTATTCTAAACTGTGTGTATTCCAGATAAAAAAAATCATAGATATTATAAATCTTTAAAACAAACATGCAATTTCCTTACCATTTCAATTTGTTCCTTGACAGAAAATTTCTGTAATTACAATAAGGCATTTAGAGTTATCTCCCATAGATTCTCACTATCAGATCATCTAGAGTTGATTCTCTTTGGGCACATTTATTTATTCAATTTAAAAAAAACAAACTAATAGCAATCTACTTCTAAGTTTTAAAAGCAATTATCAGCATATGACACATTATCAGCAATCATTTTAATACTTGTCATCACTATGGCCATGCAATATAGAAAGATTACATGATTCAAACATTGCTACGATAAATAATTTTGGTAAAAAAAAAAGGTGTAACTTATAAAATCTTAAGAGAACAGAAAATTAATTTAAAAATTGACTGAATTTGAATGGAAAAGAGAAGATGACAGTGAGTGATACATTTTAAGCCAAAAATCAATTATAAAAGGAGCAATGATCAAATATAACTGCATAGTTTACATTTCTTAGAAAAGAATGTTTTTCAGCAGTCAATTTCAAATTCTGACTTAATTATAAAGAAAAGGCAACTACTCTTCTTTTCTTTTCTTTTCATATGTAATCTGTGTACTAAATTTTGTTCCTAGGTAAACAACACTCAATTATAGTTGTACAAAAAATAAGATAACTAGAGAAACAAATTTAGTCTGTCACCACTTCCAAAATGCAGGCACACAGTACTTCAAAAAAGATAAGAAAATACAATGGCAAAAGCAAGGAAAACATGCAAACAAACAATGATGTAAAAAAAAAGCATGGGCAGTGAAATAATCCGTAAGTATACCAGTTTCTATCAAAAACTGTTTCATCCAAAGATATAAAAATCAATTTATTGGGTCCTTAATTCTCAACAGAATTTCATTAACAATATTAATCATGAGACTTGACATTTTCAACTTAAACAGAAGTCTCCACAGGACCTGTATGGCTTACTTTTTATCTCAGCCAAATGTAATCAATTTCCAACTCATTAAAGGCCAAATAGGCTCCTTAAAGTGGGTATAATTGTGGTGTAAGCGTGATCTCAGGTAACTTTTTGTAAGCATGACACGTGAAATTCAAACAATAAGCGGGATCCAGGATCAGACCCCCCCCCCCCCCCCCTCTCCCCCCAAAGGGACCCCCTTGGCTCTGAACAATAACTTTCGGAAATGTTCTTTCATTTGTTCTTCAATCTAAACACTGGCCAACCATAATTAAAAATAGCAAAAAGTGGAATTTTCATAACAGAAATCTAATTCTGACTGGCCACATGCTTTCAGCAAAGAAGAGAAAAAATATTTCCTTTATGCTTCAGTGGTAATCTTTGAGGCATCATTGACACAATTCTTTCTTGTATATCAGCATCCAGTGTGGAATATTTGCAAATGAGCTCCCAACTATAATTCCCATAAAGTTTGTCTTTATTTTAGCAGCAGAAGAAAGCTCAGAACTGACCAATTAGAACCAAACCAATCAATTATTATTTTTTGAATTTGATCCTAAATTTTCATAGAAGACAATAACAGATAAAAGGTTAAAGAACTGACCAGAGGTAGCAACCAAGGCAATAACTCACACAGGCATTTGAGGACAGGTGAGGTTTAAATGTACAGGACTTTTTGATTAAGCAGTCTATATTACTCATTACTCTGAAGGTAGTTCAGGTGTCTTTTTCTGAGCTTCTCTTCTGTGCATGTTGCAAAAATACTCTTTTGGTTTAAAAATATTTTACCAAATATCATTCAATATACAACAGAAACATCTAAAACTTGTTTCAGGAAAAAATCCTTTTAAAATCAAGGGCAGATAATTATACTGAATTTGATAGTACAAAAAATAAAATTGTGTTTTTTACCCGTAACCCCCTGTTTTTAAATATTTCAGAAGTATTTATGAAAAGCAAGTCTCTCACTGAATTTTAACCAATTCTATCGTTTAAAAATGTTCTCAATAAGGAATAATCAAGTTTCCCATATTTAACCCATATAAAATAACTGTGATTTCATTAACTTCAATGTATTTTAACAAAAAAAAACAAGGGGGGTGACCACCAGTTTTTATATTGAAATTTGAAAGTACATTATCAAGAAGTCTTTTACAAATGTTGAAGAAAAATCTATCATAGATCATTTAGACACCCCAGCTACCTTAAAGATGATATCAAACATTGCATACAAGATATCATTATGACAACAACCTACAAGATATCATTTCGATAACAACCTACAAGATATCATTATGACAACAACCTACAAGATATCATTTCGATAACAACCTACAAGATATCATTTCGACAACAACCTACAAGATATCATTTTGACAATAACCTACAAGATATCAACACGACAATAACCTACAAGATATATTATTATGACAACAACTTACAAGATATCATTATGACAACAACCTACCTGAGCAACTTTTTCCGATACATTATGCTTCATATTTTGAACATTTGGCAAGAAAATTCCTTTGGCACTGGGGATACTCCCGTCTGGATCAGGCATTTTGTTCATATTGTCTGCAGTGGCATTCGCTAAACTATCATTCACTTGTTTGGCACGATTTTTGATCAGTTCAGAATCACTTGAAGCTTGATTAATCATATTAGATTTGATATGGTTTCCTATCCCTAAAAAAAACCAAATGATACTCATTATACTACGTCATGCTAAAATATGATTTTTAGACATATATGAAACATATACATATATGAAATGACTATATATTGTCACTGAATATAAAATTTGATTGAAGAAGGCTTAGAAATATGAACAAGTATAAGGGCATTATAAACAAATGATGAATCAAATAATAAATTACAGCAATACAAAATAGATAGACTTCAAAACATGTTTTTCAATTCCAATGATGCAGTTTAGACAAAATGTGCCAAGTCAAAAAGCTAGGGTAAAGCAAGCAAATAAATTAAACATCATTTCTTTTAATAAGTACTTCTCAGGTTTCAGTCCAAGAGAAATAAAAAAGAATGAATGGAAAACATTGACATCTACTTATTTCAGTAAATTTAAAAATTTGTCTTACATTTCATGGTGACATTAAATCTGCAAAGGTCCAGAAAATATTTGTTTTGATATTTTATTATATGAGCATAAAATAAGACATTATATTAATAGGGATCTAAGTAAGTCAATTAATATGCACAAAATGCCTATATCATTGATATTTGAGAGAAGTATAGATTATTACATGGCATTTTTCATATCAGACCCTTTATCGGCCCTAGGTCATGATATCAGCCCAAGAGCCACAGGCTCGAGGGCTGATATCATGAACGAGGGCCGATAAAGGGTCTGATATGATAAATGACATGTAATTATCTTTTTATCATATACTTCATCAGAAGAAATACAGACAAGAACTATTAATTAAAATTTTGTCTTTCCATGAATTTTTAGATAATAATTTACAGACAACCAAATACAAATGTCTTAACTTTTATTGTTTTTATTGATATTACAAGCATTTTATTTATCTTGTCACAACAATTAACATGTTCTTAGTTTGAAATTTGCTCCTCAACTATTTTGTGGAAAGTCTTAAATCACTTGCGGTTTTCCGCACTGTGTTGTCGTTTTCGAACAAATTTCCGGAAATGCACGACGTTGCATGTGATAAACGTCACGGAAATTAACGGAAAGGCATGTGATAACATTCCGGAAGCAGTCAATAAAGGTTCCTTTATCAGCCCGCTGAGGAAATTCTTAGGAATCTGATAAATAAACCTAGTAATCCTTTCATAGCCTTTTAATATTTTTAAATGTTATTGAACTGTAAAATTTTAGTAATATTTTATACAAGTATATGATAAAATAAGTTATAAGTCTATGATTAGGCAAATATCTGACCCCAAATTTAATCATTTTTCACAGCAACCATATACAGCACTTAAATCTGAACCTTGTGAAGTAATAGAAAAATGATTTTATATTTGTATGATTAAAATAAAGATTGACCACAGTTGTGAAGTTCTTCAAATAAAATTAAATGTAATAATGATAAGATTCTCAAAATAAATGATCAAATATCAAATTTACAATTCAACATAACATCATTAGACGAGACTTCTTCATGCCTACAAAGAAAATATATCATGTTAATTACAAGTAGATTAACCTAATATCTACCAGTATATACATGTAGTCAGTTTGAAGCTATTGGGCTGATAAAAATTGTATGTTAGTCTTTAAAGGATTTAAGAAATAGCTGTATTTGAAGAGTTGCCAATATCAATTGGGGATTTGACAGTCCCAAATGCAGTTTTACTGGGGAAACAGGGCAGAGCCAGTTAAATGGATATCTGTGGCTGTCAAATCCAAAATTGATGGTTGCCACTCTTCAAATACATTACTGATCCTATTCTTATTCAGTACTCTTAAAAGGTTCAAAACTAAACAAATTGGTTTGTGCACTGTTGTTGACAATGACTCCAACCGTCAACCACAGAATTGATGGCAGATGTCATCCTATCAAAATTAACGTAATATGACTTATTGTATTACAATTGTATGTCTGAGTAGAGACTTCAACATGTAAAAGCCATTAAAAATATCTTTACCTACAATATTTTCTTAAAAAACCGGTGCCCAGAAGAAAAGGTTATGACTAAGAAATTTGGGATGTTGGTAACTATTGAGTTTAGTTTTTTCTTAACTCCCATTTTATTGTGTTTTCTCTGTGGTTTGAGTTCTTTCACTGATTAAAATCAATGGAGGGAGGGTATATAGTATTTACACAAGAGTGACATGCTGAACTGTCTCTCCTGTTTATATTTTGTTTACCTTCATTGAATAATTATAATGAGGTCAAGGTCAGATGAATCATGTAATATGGACATATTCACCTTACAATCATTCCATACACCAAACATAGTTGACCAATTGCTTATATATATATAGTATCTGATTAACTGACAAAACATGAAAATAAAATTGACCAATAAACCATGAAAATGACGTCAAGGTCATATAGACCCTGCCAGACAGACATGTACAAATTACAATAATTCCATACACCAAATATGGTTGACCTATTGCTTATAGTATCTGATAAACTGACAAAACCATGGAAACTTAACATTGACCAATGAGCCATGAAAATGAGGTTAAGGTCAATACAAAACCTTCCAAACAGACATGTATTCCTTACAATCACACCATACACCAAATATTGCTTATAGAATCTGAATGAAAAACAGACCAAACCACAAAACTAAACATTGTTCAATGAACCCAAAAATAAAGGTCAAGGTCAGATGAAACCTGCCAGTCTGACATGTACACCTTACAATCATGCCATACTCCAAATATAGTTGACATATTGCTCATAGTATGTGAGATACAGACTTGACCACAAAAACTGAACCTTGATCACTGTTCCGTGAAATGTTATTGAGGTCAGGTTAATCCTGTTTGACAGACATGTAGACCTTACAAGGATCTTATATACCAAATATAGTTATCCTATTACTCATAATAAGTGAGTATTTAACATGACAAAACAACTACCATTTTTTTTTAAAAGTCATTGAACCATGAAATTGAGGTCAAGGACAATAAACATATGACAGTTGGAAACTTCATATTATAAGGTTTCTGCATACAAGGTATAAAGCATCCAGGTCTTCAACTTTCTGAAACATATAGCATTATACGAATAGTTTACACCATTGACACCAGATTGATAACACTATGTCTAGCATTCTGCAACTTTCTTCACAGGCGACACAAAAAATATTTAACCATGCCAAATGTTAACCTGTCTGTCTGAGAATCTTTAAATGATTCTCAGTGCTGTTCTTTCTAAGAAAGAATTAAGCATTGATGTCAGTTGATTGGTAGTCTCTGTTTGCCATTTAGAGGTTAAGACACCAGTCTCTTTTGGAGATTATATGTTGACCTCTAAATTCCAGTTCTGTTTTGTTGAGCTGCTGTCTCATTGTCATATGAACATATTAGGTGACACTTTCGGTATTTGGCCTCCCAGTGTTTCCTAGTTTCAAAGGGAGGTAAGTCCATTATCATTTCACAGAATATACTACTGCAATAAGTCAAACCTTTTTTTTACTGAAACTAAATTTAATGACAGAAGAAACGAAAATCAGAACAAGAAATATGAGGCTGCCACTAAATGGTGCTTTTGGTAGGTTAAGCTGAACTCTTTGAATAGACTCACATAAGTCAATGAATTGAATAGTCCAGAAAATTTCAAAACATTAAGAAACATAACGAATTTAAATGTTTTCAGAAGATGAGGGCCACGAAAAGGCTATTAAATTTGCTTTTCAATAGTTGCACTTAAGAGATAAAGTTACTCCCCAAGGACCAGCAACTCTTTTCACAAACAAGAATGTGTCCATAGTACACGGATGCCCCACTCGCATCATTTTCTATGTTCAGTGGACCGTGAAATTGTGGTCAAAACTCTAATTTGGCATTAAAATTAGGAAGATCATATCATAGGGTACTAAGTTTCAAATTGATTGGACTTCAACTTCATCAAAAACTACCTTGAACAAAAACTTTAACCTGAAGCGAGACGAACTGACACACAGACCTAAAAACATAATGCCCCTAGGTGGGGCATTAAAATCTTACGATTAAAATTGATCGTAAGCTATACTGAAATGTGTATGACTTAAGAGTATTTTTACTCTTCAAGATTTTTTGTGAAAAGAGCTGCAGTCTCACAAATTTTTCACAAATTCACGAAAAGTTGCATTTTTTGAAAAACAATACAACATGGTAAGGTTTAATTAGGAGGTTCAACTGTTGAGTTTTTCAGCTAGGACCCAACTTTTGGCAAATTTCTCTGGGCTTATAATTAAGCCACCAACATTAGTGGATTAGCATATTTATCATCATTTACAATTAGAAGAAAACAATCAAATCAATCAATCTCAACTTTAGTGACATTTGTCACTGCAGAGACAAAAAATGGAAGTCTGAAACAGATAACTTGGAGAATTCCAGATGTTTGTACACATAGCAAAGTTAGTGTTTCAGTCGTAAATAAAAAAGTTTATTTTCAAGAAAGTTAAATAATAAATCAAATGCATCATTATTCATATAGTATTTAACTTTCAATAAGTTTTCTAAGTTTGTAAAGGTTGTTTAGCTCTAAGAAATTTGTGTGATTTACAGAACCTGCAAAAAAGACATATACAATTGACAAAAAAAATGTTTGTGCAGGTTTAAATAAAATTTCATGCAAGCTGTGAGAATATTATTTGAATCATTTATAAAAGTTCATTCAGTAAAGGGCTTGAAGTTAATTATCAAATAAAAAGTTGTTAGCCCTCAAACAAAAAATCTGTTCCATTTGAAGTTAGCTATGTATGTTCATTGCTCACTTTTCTCAACTTAACTGCAAATTAGAGTAGTATATTAGTCAGTATATATCAGTGGTACCAGCTATCATGTTTAGCTAATATGCTTTTTATAGATTAGAAAATAAGTATTAGCTTCTGTCAACTTAATTAATTAAAAGCTATGGGTAAAAGGACACCATGTTTTCTAGGTGAAAGGTCACTATTTAAAGGTCAAAGACAGTTTTAAACATGTACATGCTGCTGAATTAGATTAATCTAGTTGTACTTGTTAATCATGTGTGGGTGCAAGGGTGATGGGTCCAACTCACTTGACCCTATTGTCTGGGCACGAGGTCGTATCTCTGGAGATGAACCTGTAATAATATTCAAACTTTACATATATAAATATAAAGATGCCTTGATGAGAGCTAAATCAAAATTCTTCTCTCAACCATTGTATGCCTGTAAGTTTAAAGAAATGGAAGTCTTTTGTCTCTTATGTTTCTCTATTAGATATCAACTAAAATGAAAAGTAAACACATTACACTGTTATATATTGTTTAAATACTGCAGAAGTACAAAAAGGTTTCCAAACACTTAAAACTGAAAATATGAAAACTGGCAAAACAATAATTAATTCTTCCCATGTCTACTTAAATTATTTTTCATCACATTTTTTCACAAAAAAACACTTAAATCTACTGAATACATTACCAAATAAGAATTTAAATCCAATACATGTATTAAAACAAAGTCTACAGGTACATGTCAAATTAAAGTTTACCAGATTCCCTACATATATTATGAGATAAAAATCCTTTCTCAAAAGTTATATTGGACTAGACAATTTTCACCAAGAAAAGCAAATTTTAAGTAAAACTTTTAATAAAATGCTTCGCTGAGCGCAGCCTGATACCACCGCAGAGGTCAAACCCTGAACAGTTGGGGCAAATTTGGACACAATATTCAAGCTTGATACTGTCTGAATTTGGATTGTGATCAAATTTTTGACATAATATATGTTTCTGACACAAAATAAATGTGGTCAAAGATCTTACAAATCTATTGCGCAATACTGTGCAATTGAAGATTTCTTCTTGAAACTTTTCAAAAATTCGAAATTTGAAAAATTTTGAAAAAAATATGAATCCCTTAAAAAAATCCCCCCCCAACTTTTTGAAACCCCCCTTGGAGCAATAACCCCAAAACTCAATCCAAGCATTGCCTTTGTAGTATGGAACCTTGTAGTACAATTTCAGAGAGATCCATACACTCAAACACAAGTTATTGTCTGGAAACTAGAAAAATGCTTGTTTTTGGCCCTTTTTTGGCCCCTAATTTCTACATGTTTTGGGCAATTAACCCCAAACTCAATCCCAGCCTTCCCTTTGTGATATGGAACCTTGTGGTACAATGTCAGAGATCCATACACTTACACACAAGTTATTGTCTTGAAACTAGAAAAATGCTTGTTATTGGCCCTTTTTTGGCCCTGAATTCCTAAACTGTTGGCCCCATAACCCCTAAAATGAATCTCAACCTTCTACTTGTGGTATTAAACATTGTGGTACAATTTCAGAGCAATCAAAATACTTATACACAAGTTATTATCCTGAAACTAGAAAAATGCTTGTTTTGGGCCCCTTTTGGGCCCCAAATTCTTAACGGTAGGGACCGTCATCCCCAAAATCAATCCTAACCTTCCTTTTGTGGTATTGAACCTTCTTAAAAAATTTCATAGAGATCCATTCACTTAAACTAACGTTATTGTCCGGATACCAATGTGTCTTAGATACAAAGACGCAGACGACGACGACGACATCATACCATTATACGATCCCAAAAAAATTTTTGCGGTCGTATAAAAAACCTGATATTAGACTGCAAAATGATTGAATAATGAAAGAAATATACAATAAATAAGAATAATAATATTGATTTATATTCAGGTTTTAATGGTAAAAAAAGGTTTCTGAAGAAGTTGTATTTGGAAGGTCAGATTGTATTTACATATATTTCCTTTACATTTGCATTGTAACTTACTTCAGTAAATATCAACTAGAACTCAAAATTTGCAAAATGAGATATCAGGAGCTAAAACAAATAGAGATGTTCTAACCAATTGAGGTTTTCAATAATTTTGTTCTGGCGAAAATACCAAAATCAGACCATCATATAAGAAATGATTTAAAATTATCATTGCACTTATTTTTTTGTTGATTATATTTTTATCTCCTCTTTTTTGTGTTTGTTATAAAAAACACATTAATATTGTCATACTATTACAACATTTGGTTGTGTATAATCTCATGTGTTAAAATTAAATGCATATCAATATCTGTAATTCTCTTATTACATTTAGTAATGTATTAATAGCATTTTCATTTAGATACTATTACAACTAATGATTAACAAATAATCTATGACAGTCTAATTCATTATTAATCTACTCTCATTAATTATTCCCACTGCTATTACCTTTCTCATAAATGGATTCCCAATCTGAAAGTTCTGAAATAAGATGGGAAGAGTGATTGAGTTATTTCCCTTACATTATCAAAAAGATAAAAATGTTTGCCAATAAAACCTACCTGGCACTGTATAGGTAGGTAAAAAAAATAAAAGTAAATTGGAATACATGTATATAATTTTTTTTTATTCATCAAAAATTAATAAATGTATTTCTATATTTTATTTATTCAGAATGACTCAAAGTTTGATGCTACAGATGGAATTGCTTTTCTATCATCCTGTTACTCATGCAACTACTACATTGCAATTTATCTCTTGAATTCCCTTTTGGTAGTGATTATTTTAGCTGATTTGTACCACAAACAATAAAACTATTTCTAAATTAGAATCCTCTTCAATTTGTCTATTTCCTGTAGCATTCCTAATTGGCTTTTTGTAGAACAATATGGACAATGCAGAAAATTAATTAGTATTAAGCTTCAAAATAAATTGTTTGAACTGCTAGGAAAAACTAAATGTGGTTAACGTTCAAGATTGCTCAACTATCAAATGTAATAAAAGAGATTTAAATGAGAGTTAAGTGACAATACTAACCACCACTGTTTTCACTGGCTCTATCTAGATCATTTTGTTTCTGTGTCTCTATACCCTCCAAAGAAGAAGCTCGTCTAATGAATCCTTGACTAGCCTTTTCTGCCTCCATTACATCAAGAATACAGCCATCCACTGGTCTGTGTCGTAGGGGTGGCGAGTTGATAGGGAAATCAGGGCCAGGCACTGGTAGTTGATTAAGAGGCATATTTTCTTCTTCAGGAATGGGTGGGTTCTCAGGGTCTGCTGGCTTATCTGAGATTTTAACTTTTGTTCTGAGTTCTCTACGGATGGATGGTAATCGTAATCTAAAGCTTTTGTGGCGATCTATTAAAAACAAAAAAATGGAAGTTTGAAGAAGAGTTTATTTATTACAAATCAAACTAGTCATCTAGGCTAATTGGCAATAACAGTGTAAACTGTCTATTTGTTTTCTTGATAACAGTTTCTATCACTATCAAACTTATCATTGACTTATTAAAGTAGATTCAATTTTTTGAAGGAATTTTGACTGTGACAATGGCAAAAAAAAAACTGATCAAAAAATTTGACAGACTTTTATGGAATAGAATCTCATCCTATTTTTCTTGAAACATGGATAGGAATTAGATAATCAGAGTTTAGTTCAGGAATGATGCAATTTTGTTTACAAAACCAAAGCGTGGTAAAAAGGGAAAGAAGGATAACTTCCAGTACAACTAAATGAAATTTAAAACATGGACAAACATCATGCCAGAGAAATTGATTGAATTTGTTGAGAATAAAGATCTGCCTCAAAGAAATCATACTCAATATCTACTTTTACATAGAAAATATAGAGAAAGAGCAATACTATCATTCTGTTCAAAATTACTTTCAAGCTTTTTGACTGATAATGTAAAAAGGAGACTCAGTGGCCAAGTGGTCTTGGTAGTTCATCTACTGTATCACAAGACTGTCAACACTGAGGTAGTAGTTTGAACCCCGCATGTGGCAGGTGTGTTTGATTCTAATCTTAATTGACTAGGATTGCCAATTTTCCTGCCGAAGGTTGGTGATTCTCTCCAGGTACTCAAGTTTCATTCACCAATAAAAACTGGCTGCCACATTATAACCAACAGTTTTGAAAGTGGTGTTAAACACAACAACCAAACAATCTATTAATCATAATGTAAAACCTTAGAATTCCCACATTTTCTTTGACCTATCACCAGAAAAACTTTGATAGTGACATCACAACAGATGACATTTTTTCCCAAAAATTTCTAATTCAATGTTGTCTTTGACCAAGTATCTATTGATAGTGACAACAGGGTTTCGATGCACTTATTTCTAAAAACAAATCAATTTACAATAGATGTTAAATATATATGTTAACTCAATATTTTTTAAGATTTATTTTCATATAGAAGCCTGCTCATTGTATACTGAAACCTGTATTCCCTTTAACAACAACAATGCAAATTTGTTTTTTTTTAAGTTAGTTAATGAAACCAGACCTCTGCAGAAAATGAAAATTTTATAGTTTAATTCTGTCTCCAAAGTCATATTACCCTTACTGCATTAGTTTTTTGGTGTATCAATCACAAAATTTCCCATGTGGATATGTTTTTCTAAGATCTACACAATAAAAAGGTCATTAAGACAGCCTTACCAACTAATGATAGTCTGATTGAGAATTTTAACATCACAAAAACAACATCAGACATCAATAAATGTCTGTAAGTTTGTATTTCCTATTTATCAGTACTACTGAAGCTGCCTATATAAAGTTATAGTATAAAAAATAAGTAGAACATAAAAGCTGGTGTTTTAACAGAAAATTATCAAGCAAAGCAATAGCAAACAATAATATTTGTTATTAATATTTGTCGGCAAGATATAGTACTTTATTCAATTCTGACTAGAGAGACTCTAAATTTGAATAAGGTAGCACTCCACAGTTAGAAAGTAAAATTAAAATTGAACCACAAAATGTTTAATCATCTTCTATTCTTGGCTTTCTAATACATTAAGCCAACTGTTTGTGTCATACATGTGAAAATGTATGTAAGCAGTATCTTCCATAGATTTGATTTTCAAAAGTTAAAATGATGAAATATAATTCCTTTTTTGTGTATCCATGGCAACATTCTGAATTTATTTACTCTAAAATATTGCAAAAAGGGGGATGAAAATGTCACATATTCCCCCAAAATTTTGTTCCAACTAGAATTTCAATCCCTTTGAGTGATACATTTTCTGAAACTATTGACATTGATCTACCAAATGAGCAAATGAAAATTAGGTGTCTTTCCGCCTCATTTTTTTGTTAATTTAATCACAAAGTTCGTGCGACAAAAAGTTGGAAAAAACATTACAATAATTTCCGTACTAATGTCTGGAATGGATATGAAAATACAGACTGTCATACAGAAAACAGTCCATAATATATACATTATACAATCGTGATGTTCCTATAAACTCACTATGAAGGCTTTATTAATCTTCATCTATCCCAAAATGAATTTTATTGCACACTAGCTTTCATATTTGAAAAATCCACAGGGGCCAAAATGCGAAACTACACACCTAACTGTGGAGTGCTACCTTAAGTCCCCAATAAAACCTGTCTTAGAGAACCTAGGTTATTGAGAATCAAAATGTAGGATTTCCAAAAATAGACTGAACCAGAACTGTATGCAGAGAAGAACAAATACCTCACCCTGCTAATTATTATAAGCCCCAAATGTCTTTTTAATTGAACATATTCTGACTGTAATGATAATCATGTTAATGTAGATTTCTATCCATCAACTAGAAAAGATTTAACTCCAATATCTCTATCCATGGCAAAAGTGTGACAGCAACTAAATCTTCAAAGCTGTTGGGGTCCGAGAGGCATAACACCATAAGAATTTATCAACATGAAAAAAAAACTAAAACATAGTTTGTAACTAACTCTAACATAACTAAACACTAAAATTGAACAGATCAGTTCAGACACATCAAATTTAGAGGCTCTAATGAGCCAGTGTTGCTCACCTTGATGTTTGTGCATTTTCGATATTGAAGACTAGAATATAATTCATGAATAAGATCTGTTTTTGTTGATCTTGTCTTGCTAATCACTTTTCTTTTTACATTTTTCTTTATCTATTACAGATTTTGCAATAACCATACAATGATTCAACTGACAATTTCTGCAATTTGATATATTTGCAGATCTTTTCTTGCTGATCATTTTTTGCTGTTTACATATTTTATTTATCTATAGTATTAGTCATAAATGCAAAATAATGGGTAATAATCATCAATTAATTATTTAAGAGCAATAACTCCTATAAAAAGTTGATCAACATTTCCAGCTATGTTGACTTATGTAGATCTTGTCTTGCTGATAATTTTCACTATCTAAAATTTCTATCTATCTATTATAATTATCAGTATAATAGACAAAAATGCAAAACATTGGCAAAAATCATCATTTAAGGGCAATAACTCCTATAAGATGTTGTCGTGACAGTTCTCATGTAAATGGACAGTAAGGATATCTCATGATTTTGTATATTTCTGGCCTGTCAGATTTTCTTGATGGAAAGGGCAATTCAAGATAATAGACAAAACTTGTATTTTACACCTTTGATCTATTTTAGCCATGTCAGCCAAGTAGGTTTGCAGATCATGGGACACAAACTAGATACCCAATGATGGATCTGGCTAAGTTTGGTTCCGATTGACTCAATAGTTTCAGATGAGAAGATTTTGTGTAAAAGTTAACAAACGACAAAACTAAACAGTGGTTGAAAGACCCCAAGGGGCTAAGGGCATTATTCCATGAAAATGTAATCAACCAAAACAACCCTAATTCATGATAGGTAACATCTAATGACTGACTATATACTTAAAAATCTACTACAATGTAGAAAATCATTGATAAACCTTGAATTCTTATGTGCTGAAACTCTAGAAAATAAATTTTAAACAGAAAGACATTTGACCACAATGACCTGTACTTATATATAGCATCTAAGAAGGTTTAAGGTCCAGTTACAATAAATGGGCTATATCACAGATTGTGTTATTTTACATACAACTTTGGCTTGTTGAACTTTAACTGAAAATCGAAAAAAATAATGCATTTATCTCTTTTATTTTCTGAAATATTTGTGATTGAATTTTTTCCAAGAAAACACATAACATCTTCAAAAAACGTTCTTACATATCATAGGTCTTAAAATCATCAAATCTCCAATGTCAAATCCATAGATTTTTCGTAAAAAAGCTCTTTGTTGTTGGTAAATAAATTTCTGTTTTAATGATGTAAAATAATAATAGGGTCACCAACTTCAACAAGCAAAAGTTTTATGCAAAATTTTACTAAAATCTGTGACATAGCCCATTTACATTTCCTTGACCTTAAGGGAAACAGCATGAATGTTTGGGGATGAAAACCCTATGATGACCTCTACATGTCTTTTAGAATTAAACATGGGGAACATAACTGGATCTTGGTTAAGATATCTTATATCTCTAAAAATTGAAGCTACCATAATTCTCTTTGTTTTCATGTTAAAAAAAAAGATCAAAACAACACACTTATACCAGAAATAATAAATTGCTTTGCTGAGCGCAACTGGATACAAATGCAGAGGTCCAACCCTGAACAGTTGGGGCAAAAATGGACACAATATTCGTGCTTGATACAGGTCTGAATTTGGATTGTAATTACATATCTGACACAAAATAGGTTTCTGACACAGAATAACACTAGTCAAAGAACTTAGAATTGGTAATATGATTTGAATTCATATTCAATTTGCTGTTGCGTATTGACCCCCCCCTAATATTTGAAGAGATTTTCTTTTTAATTTCTGAAATGAGAAAAAATTTGATTACCTCCCTTACACCGCTTTAAAATTGTCCATTAACCAGGAAACCCTTGTTTTTCCCCTTTTTAGCCCCTAATTCCTAAAAGGTTTGAGCCATAACCCCCCAAAGTCAATCCTAACCATCCTAACCATCCCTTTGTGGTATGAAAAATTGTGGTATAATTTCAGAGAGATTCATACACTTAAACACAAGTTATTGTCTGGAAATTACAAAAATGCTTATTTGGGCCCCTTTTTTTGCCCCTAATTCCTAAACTGTTGGGACCCTAATCTCCAAAATCAATCCCAATCTTCCTTTTGTGGTTATAAACCTTGTGTTTAAATTTCATAGATATCTATTTACTTATACTAAAGTTATTGTCCGGAAACCAACTGTCTTCGGACGACGACGACGATGATGACGACGACGTGATACCAATATACGACCACAAAAATTTTTTGCGGTCGTATAAAAACAGGTTTATATATAAACATAAAATAAGTCAGAGCAAAACAAACTCCAAGAAAAACCATGAGTTAGAGCAGCATGCAGAGGTTGAGAACATCCTGTTTAGGAATATGTCACCCAAGACCTCCAATCTTAAAATTTTGTTTATCAAAATATAACTTCAGGCATCGATTTCTGTTTGATGATAAAATTATCAACATTCTTCATTTCTTGCAGGTATAAAAAAACTGTTAACACAGAGATTTGTCTCCCCTTTTTGTTACTTTGATAATACATTTTTACAAATGTTGAAATTAAAATAGCAAAACTTTAACATGCAAGTTATGCAAATATTCAAAGTTAATGAACCATGACTCAAAGTACAGGGCTAAACAATCTCCATGGAAATGAGATGTGCCAATGCTAATACAACTGCATACCAAATACCATTGACTTTTCATAAGTCATTCCCTTTAAAAAAACCTAAACGTAAAACTTTCAAAGTCAAGGAACCATAATGAGGGGATGGGGTTATATAATCTCCATGGAAATGAAACTTCCAAATGCCAATACATTTGCATACCAAATATCATTGACTTAACATTAGTGGTTCATCTTAAACTGACATAATCACAAACTAATACATGTAAACTAAGCAAAAGTTTCAAAGTCAACAGACAGTGACTGAGGGGAAAGGACCAAATATTCTCCATTGTAATGAGATGTACTAATGCTTATACAATTGCATTCCAATTACCATCATCCTACCACTAACGGTTCCCCTTAAACTGACCTAATAACAAGGTAATACATGTAAACTAAGCAAAGTTTCAAAGTCAATAGACCATGACTGAGGAGGCCGGGCCAAATAATCTCCATGATAATGAGATATGCCAATGCTTATACAACTGCATACCAAATATCATTGACTTACCACTAGTGGTTTCTCATAAACTGACCTAATCACAAGCTAATACATGTAAACTAAGCAAAGTTTTAAAGCCAATTGACCATGACTGAAGGGGCGAGGCCAAATAATCTCCATGGTAATGAGATGTGCCAATGCTAATACAACTGCATACCAAATATCAGTGACCTACCACTTGTGATTCACCATAAACTAGACCTAATCACAAACTAATACATTGTTGATGCTGCCGCCGATGACACCTGAAACAGCATACCTATGTCTCGCCTTTTGACGAGACAAAAATAAGCAATCATTAGTAAATTGCAAAACCAATATTTTACAAAATGAAAATATTTTTTTTACATCAAACAAAGTCTGTATATTATATCCTATGATAGTTTGCTGTACTAACACACTGTTCAATGATATAATAACCACAGTTACTTACTGTTTCTGAAGGTTGAAACATCCACAGAATGAGTTCTGTTGGAGGCAGAAGTGATGTCCTCATAGTTAATGATAAACATTATAACTTCACCATGCTCATTCTTGACAGGGGCTATGAGGACACTACACACAAACTTTGTTCCTACAAATATAAAAGTAAACTTCACTTCAACAGAAGATATCAAAATACAATATACATATAACAAGAGTGGACATGCTGAAATGTATTGCCTGCTTTACTGATCACAATTGAATTTACTTTGAAAGTCATAAAGAAAAAGGTTGTACTCAAGTATACATAAAATCAAGATTATCAATGATCATGAAAATGAAGCTAAGGACAGATGAACCATGTCAGACAGACATATATACTTAACAGTCATTCCATACACCAAATAAAGTTAACCTATTGCATATAGTATCTGAGAAGCAGACATAATCAAGAAAAATTCAACCAATGAACCATGAAAATGAAGTCAATGTCTAATGAACCCTGTCAGACACACATGAACACCATACAATCATTCCATACACCAAATATAGTTCAGACATATACACCATAAACATTTCATACACCAAACAAATGGTACTTGACTAACTGAATAAAGTACCTTAGAAACAAACCTTACCATGAAAACTTAACATTGACCAATGAACTATAAAAATGAGGTCAGGGTCAGATGAACACTGCCAGACAGACATGTGCACCTTACAATAGTTCCATTCATCAAATATAGTTAACTTATTGCTTATAGAATCTATGAAATAGACCAAACCAGAAAAACTTATTATTGACCAATGAATCATGAAAATGAAGTCAAGGTTAGACGAAACCTGCCTAACGCACATGTACACCTTACATTCATTCCATATTAAATTTGTTTGACTAACTGCTTATAGTATCTGAGATACAGACTTGACCATGAAAAAAATAAGTTTTAAATCATACCATACTAATCCCATTATAGATAAAGATGTTAGGTATATCTAAATGAGTCAGCAACCCAACATACAAATAATTAAATGAGATCTAGGTCAACTGGTTTCGTAGTTTATCTTCAATATTGTCTGCTGACATAATAATTGAGATAAACCAAAAAAATTAATTTAATCAAATTCATGAATTTATCAGTATACAAAACATTTCCTCCCATATGTCAGGAAATGATGCTATCCCACAATACATTTTTCATGCCAAATAAAAGTAAAAACAATCTAATAAAAATTAGTTTGCATGACATATAAACAATCGAACGAAAAATATGAGCATGTGTGGAGAACAAATTCTAATTAGATTGAAGTAAAAATTGCATTGTGATTTGAATGACATTTAGCAATGAGAAAAAGGATCCTAGACTATAACTCTTTAGAATGCAATCTAAATTTAAAGGTATATTTTGCAATGTTAGATATCTGAACAGCAGTTAGCATCAAATATAATATATATGAGACAGCAACCCATCAACACAATAAAATCAGAAACACATCTTTAAGATCAACATGCAGACTTAAACAATAGACAAGAGCAGATACCATATGACCCAGGGCTTTCAAAACAGTTGTATTGTCCGGACTTGCCCAATAAATTATATTTTTGACTTGTTGTGCAGAGCCTGAAACGGACATATAACGTAGGTTTTCCATTTTAAAATAATTCAGAAAAAAAATTAAGTTATGCTATCTTTTTTATTTGACCTTTTGCCTTAAACAGCCACACATTACCAGTCATAAGTGACATGATGAATAAGTACTATCAAAACAAACCCTACTTTAATACCCTCTCATTACAATCAAGGTTAATCAGTTGTCTGACAGCTGGAATTTACCAAATATTATTTGGAAGCCCTGATATGACCTAATGTCAACCTCTGTCTAGTCATGACTCTAGAAAAGTTATAAATACATTTCAACACCGACAACCAAACATCTACTACCAACACTTAATCATTTAGTAGAAAAACAATAAGATATAAGAGAAAGAACAACAGACAAGACATTTGTGATAAAACAAATTACAAATAAGATATGTTACATTTTAGCAAAACATGCATTGAATGGTAAACAGAAATAATAAACTGTTGACACAGGGAAATGTCTCGCCTTTATTTAATTTTAATAGTATTATGTAAATGTTGAAATTAAATTGTCATACTTAAACATAAACTTTGCAAAACTTTCAAACTGAGTGAACCATGACTGATGTGCATCCCTGGAAATGATATAAGTCAATGCTAATACAACTGTGTACTCCATATCATTGACTTATTGCTAGTGGTTCACAATAACCTGACGAAATCACAAACTTGAGCATGAAACCATGCAAAAAGTCTCAAGTTAACCAAGACTGAGGTGGGGCAGAGCCAAATGATCTCCATTGAAATGAGATGTGCTATTGCTAATACAACTGCATACCAAATATCATTGACTAACTATTAGTGGTTCTCCTTAAACTGACCTAAAAAAAACTTCATGTGGCAAGACAAAAACTAGAGGCTCTCAAGAGCCTGTGTCGCTCACCTGTATTTACTGATGCTTTGGAAATCATGTAAATAAGGTTAAAATCATAATTAATAGTATTAGATATTAGATATTATAATGATATCTAAGATAATAACAAAAAACTGCAAAATTTCTGTAAAATTACTAACTCAGGGGCAGCAACCCAACAACAGGTTGTTGGATTTGTCTGAAAATTTCAGGGCAGATAAATCTAAATCTGATGAACATTTTTGCCACCTGTCAGATTTGCTCTAAATGCTTTAGTTTCAGAGATATAAACCAAAAACTGCATTTTACCCCCATGTTCTATTTTTAACCAAGTCGGCCATGATGGTTGGAAGGCGGGGTCATCAGACAAATTTTTTAAACTAGATACCCTAATAATGATTATGGCCAAGTATGGTTAAATTTGTCTCAGTAGTTTCAGAGAAGAAGATTTTTGTAGAAGATTACAAAAATTTACGAAAAATTGTTAAAAATTGACTATAAAGGGCAATAACTCCTAAAGGGGTTGACTGACAATTTTGGTCATGACAACTTATTTGTAGATCTTACTTTGCTGAACATTATTGCTGTTTACAGTTTATCTCTATCTATAATAATATTCAAGTTAATAACCAAAAAATGCAAAATTTCCTTAAAATTACCAATTCAGGGGCAGCAACCCAACAACAGGTTGTCAGATTTGTCTGAAATTTTCAGGGTAGATAGATCTTGACTTGATAATCAGTTTTACCCTATGTCAGATTTACTCTAAATGCTTTGGTATCAGAGATATAAGCCAAAATCTACATTTTACCCCTATGTTCTATTTTTAGCCATGGCTGCCATCTTGGTTAGTTCGCGGGGTCATCGGACACATTTTTTAAACTAGATACCCTAATGATGATTGTGGCCAAGTTTGGTTAAATTTGGCCCAGTGGTTTCAGAGGAGAAGATTTTTGTAAAAAGCTAACGACAACGGATGACGACCACGACCACGGACGCCAAGTGATGAGAAAAGCTCACTTGGCCCTTCGGGCCAGGTGAGCTAACAACTTTCTACATTAAAACATTAGGAGTTTGATTGGCTTATTGTAACGCATCACTGCTGAATCACTTTAGAATGACAAATTAAAGCTATGGCATTACTGTACTGAAAAATCTGTATAACGTCAGGCAATTGACTTCTGTCTCACATTCTGTCACAAATATACACTATAAATGTTGTAGTGATAAATTTCAAATCTGAAAAGAAACGATTGATTTTGGTAGGAGTAATTATACCATAAAGCCGGTCCTCCTTTTCCAATTTCAATTGATTTAAAATTGTCTTTAAGATGCTAAATGGATTGATGTGAACTTTAATTGCACCATTACGTAATTTTCAATCAATAAACTTCCAGAGCATTTCAACTTCAAGTTGTTTAATAACAAGTGAACAAGAAAGATACAATCAGCAAAACAATAACAAAGAGGACTTGATTACAAAGACAAATAAATTCAAAGGGACAGAAATCTGAAAATGTCAATACCATTCAACGATGCATGTATAGTAGTGAGTATTTATGTCATGAAGTCTATGCTAGTTATTCATTACTCAATCCACAATTTAGATTTATTTCAACAATATTGTCCTATTAATGTACATAGAAAATGTGTTTCTAGACTTTCATCCAACAACAACATTTGTAATCAAGATACCTACCATATGGCTACTTCAATACAACATATTATCTGGGCTTTTATGCTTTGCAGAAAAAAGTGAAAACTTAGTACCAGAACAATTAACTTGCAAAATTTAACAAAACATTTGTATATTTATTTGATACTATGCAGCAATATTACACAGATTTCAGTGAATTATTCCCCAATATATACTCAAAGTTAAGTGACAGTGTTATTAGATCACTGATTTTCAGATTTTCAGTAATCATCTTCAAACCTCAATGAAAGCTTAATGACCTTCTATTGATTCTTAATCATTATGGTGTGTTTGTTCTTATACCTTAAAAAAAAGAAGTCATAATGATTCTAAACAAGTTGTAGAAAAATTCAACAAGAAGTACCAAAAAAACGACCAAATTCCTAAATAAACCAATAATATAATAGATCAAAGACTTAAATTGCTGTGTTGCACAGAATGTTTCTATAACAACAGGGCCAATACTGTTCATTATTTCTATTATTTGTGGGATACCAATTATCTATTATCTAATTCAACAGGCTTATCAGAAAAACTGCAGGCCATGGGGCCTCTTGGCTGACCTAAATTTTCAACACTAGAGAGGTGTCTTCTACATGTTCAAGGATGAATAAATTCAAAGGATAAAGAATTCTTACAAAATCTTCATGTATTTGACTATATTTTTTGTAAACATATTTGTGGTACAATATATTTCTATAAAAATAATCAACCTTTTCAAAGCTAACAGCTGCTTTCAAAAATCAGATGCACAATATAACATATATACTAATGTAAGAATGTGATAGATGCTGTACCACTGTGTATATTGAGTCCCTAGATGATTTAATGCTTTATACTTAGTTTAGTTTTCATCAACAAGATTTAACTTTTGACATTTAAAATCTTAATATTCCCAAGAAAATCCACAACTGTTTGCTTCCAATAAATGTAATTTACCAAAACAGTTCTTAAGAACTGTCAAATAAAACAGTAAAAATCAGTTATTATCAAGTAAAGCAAGATAAATGAACTTTCCCTTATCCTCTAAACCAAGAGCTTTAGTACTGAGACAAAAACACTGACAAATATAAATAACTATTTAACAAAATGACTTAGGGATAATCACTAAATCTTGGTTCTGGTTAGATTGGTGTGAGTTTGCTAATGTTTCACTTGGGGTTAATAAATAGCAGCTCTATTGCATATTTCATTTTCTTCGTATAAATCTATCTACAAGTGTATTATAAATAGTTTCTGTACTGGCTGATTTACAGTGCTGGGAATTTGACAAACCTAAGATATTGATCAAATATCAATCATTCATTGTAGGAGGGAAAAATTTATATTGAATATTATCGTAGATGTTTGGCTCCCGACCATCTGACGTGATCCTATTCAAATAATTTTCTATTTGTATTACGGCAGAAGATTAAAGGTGCTATTCAAATACCATACAAAACATACTGTTACTGAATGTAGACAACAATCACCATCAAGAAAATTTGCATAATGAAATTGAAAGAACAGGGCAATTCAATAAAAGTAAATGAGTATTGGAAGCTGTCTCAGAGTTTCCAAATTGTACTTATTCTACGAAAAATTTCCAGTAACCTTTCTGTAATAATAGACATATTATACTGAAAGACAAAAAAAGAAAACAATTCATTTCAAGAAATTATGTCTAGATGGAATCAAAAGAAGTTGCAATTCAATAAAACCAAATGTTATTGGAAATTGTGTAAAAGGTTGAAATTACTCTTTACTTGGTGGAAACAAATAGATTTTTGTAATCAAATTCTAGTGTGAAATTGACCAATAAACTATTTTCTAATTTAATAAAATGTTCAGATTGTAAATTTACTGTACATCAATTCCAAGAGAGGACAACAACACCATTATGACATTTAAGTCAATCTTTTATACAAATTATATTAAAATCAAAGGTAAATCAATTTGGTGTGTAGTAGTAAATGAAAAGGTTATGTTACATGAAATTTGCCAATAAAAATATACAAGACAGTTATTTCATTTTGAGCTATACATTTTTAAAGTCTATGCATAAAATAAATGAGTACTTTTATCAAAAAGTTGAGAGTGAAGGAGGTGAATGCATTTCATTACCAAAAAAAATGTTATAAAAAAACCCAGTTTCTTTTTTACATCAATGTCATTTGAACTCCACCTCATTTGAACTAAAGTGTGGATAGTTGTCTCAAAGGCAAATATCATACCACATCTTATTTTTTAACAGTAAAAGGTTAACAAGCCAACAGATGCTCCAAAATTTAACATTGACTAGAATTACTAGTGGCAAATTCAAAATATATGTTATCTTTTATTCTTTAGTCTATGAAGCTTGATTGTTATGATTATATACCAAGGTATGACATGTTTAAACAATTGAATCTCTTGGTTGATGCTGAAATTTGGGTTTTAAGGTTTGATATTCGTGAGCATCATGTCTCATTCATAATTAACAAAATATTTGTTGCTGACAACACCATGGACAGAAGAAATATTTCATAGAAAAACAAGTCTATACAAGACCTTATTGACAAAATATTGAGTAACATAAACCCTTCTGAAAATCAGAAATGAAGTCAGATGTTCCAAAAGAGTAAACAAACAGTGAATGTGTTAAAGGGTTCTAAAGTTAACTCAGCATAAACTTAAAATTGGACTATTGTGCAAAATATTAAGGGAAAGATCTCTAGGAAGACAAATCTGAAATGTATTAAACTTGAAATCTGCATTGTTTGGTGGTTCCTTGCACTGTATGCAAAAATCAAATGTGTTAAGTACTTATAAATTATGATTGATTGGGTCAAGGTTAACTATGTTATCGAATAAAAGCTAATTTTGTGATGTATAAATGAACAAATATTTTTAGCAGGGAAAAACATAAACTGTTTGAGGAGAGATATGTCTCATCTGTGTGTTATTTCCATTGAATAATGCAAATGTTGATATCAAAAAGACAACACTGTATGACTATCTGTACGCTTGAACACTAATCACAAACTTTAACATGTGAACTGGGTATTTCAAATTTCCAAGTCAATGGATCATGATTGAGGGGGCAGAGCCAATAATCTCCATGGCAATGAGCTGTGTCAATCCTCATGCAACTGCATACCAAATGTCATTGACTTAACATACGTTGGTCTTGTTAAACTGACCTAATCACAAAGTTTATGAATTGTGGAGGCTGTAAACAGCAGTCCTAAGTCTTACTTCTGGGATTTCCTGGAAGGTGAGACAAAATTTGACAGATGCTGATAAATCTCTGATCAAGTAAACAATTATTCATCAATTTATTCACTTAAAATTAGAATATGATGTCTTCAAGAATTTATAAAATAAATGAATTAGAAGGTTAAGTGTCGTTTTATTCACTAAATGATTCTTACCTAGAGAATTACCTTCTTTTTTATAGTAAAGAATTTCCACTTGCTTTTCTTCTGTGCCTTGTAAAGCATCTTTAATCTGTAAAATTCCCAATGAACCAGTAAGGGGACCATGTAAGAAATCACAAATACAGGATTTCTGCATAACCTCCGCTCGTGAATATCCAGTAAGTTCACAAAATCCATCATTGCAAAATATAATTGGTGAAGTTTCAATCTGAGCATTCGCAATCACAAACTTTCGATCTAAAATTAGAAAAATATGTCACGTTTCAATTTCAATAGTATATATTAGAACAAAAGGCTCCAAGCAGCCTGAAACCTTCTCCCAAGGTTGATATTCCTACAGTGTCTCCATGTTAAAGCGATCATATCATAGTATTAGATGTCAGATATGAATCAATTAATTGAAGTCTTGTGAATCCATATTAAAAATTAGGTATGTTACCCACTGCATTTGTTTGCACCTGTCCTAAGTCAGGAACCTGATGTTCAGTGGTTGTCGTTTGTTGATGTGGTTCATAAGTGTTTCTCATTTCTCGTTTTTTATATAGATTACACCGTTGGTTTTCCTGTTTGAATGGTTTTTACACTAGTCATTTTGGAGCCCTTTATAGCTTGCTGTTCGGTGTGAGCCAAGGCTCTGTGTTGAAGGCCATACTTTGACCTATAATGGTTTATTTTTACAAATTGTGACTTGGATGGAGAGTTGTCTCATTGGCACTCATACCACATCTTCTTATATCTATATGTTGTCATTAAGATGAATTTGATGGGGGTCATATAAGAAATACTTCTATCAAGCTTCATGCATGAAAAGTCATCAACCAGACCAAAAATTACTGGGACAGGATTACGTGACATGTTTCAAGTAGAAAACATCCAAGGAATATTCCTTCCAATAAAGATCAAAATTGGTACAGATAGTACTTGTGAGAAATCAAAAGTGTTATTTAAAAAGAGGCCAATGAAAACATTTGACTCAAAAGGATAGAATAAATAAGCCTCTATTTGGCCTCATATTTGAGGATTTTCTATTTTTTTAATATATTTTTTCCCTTAAATGGCAAAATAAAATAGATCAATATACAAAGCTTCCCAGTAAATATTTCAACTTTCTGAAATATCAGATTTCTTTGCGATTCTGAATACCAAAATTTATTTACAACAAGAAATGATTGTAACAGGATGCTGTTACGAAGTCTCCCAAACGAAATTCCCATAATTCGTAAATCCCAGGGTCGCCTGACATTGGGCAACGTCCAGTGAAAATTGGTTTGGTCCAGTAAAGTTATATGCATTAGTGATGCCTGGGGACTAACCCTGTATATCATTCAAATGATCTTGGCATGACAAACCAGAATATATATGGTTTAGGGGTGGGGATCTCGACCATTTACAAGATACTAGAACATTGGGGTGGGGGGAACCCCTGGGGACTGACCCTATACGTCATTCAAATGTTCGTTACATGATGAACAGGAATATATATGGTTTAGGGATGGGAATCTCAACCATTTACAAGATATTAGAACATTGGGGGTGGGGGGAACCTCTGGGGACTGACCGTATACGTCATTCAAATGTTGGAGACATGACAAATAGGAATATATATGGTTTAGGGGTGGGGATCTCAACCATTTACAAGATATTAGAACTTTCTCAAATGGCAGGGGGTCGGGATGACCCCTGGGGACTAACCCTGTATATCATTCAAACCATCTTTGCATGACAAACCAGAATATATATGGTTTAGGGGTGGGGATCTTGACCACTTACAAGATATTAGAACTTTTTTAAATTGCATGGGGTCGGGGTGACCCCTGGGGACTAACCCTGTATTTCATTTGATGTGCTTTATCATGACAAACCAGACTATATGGTTTAGGGGTGGGAATCTCGACCATTTACAAGATATTAGAACTTTCTCAAATGGCAGGGGGTCGGGATGACCCCTGGGGACTAACCCTGTATATCATTCAAACCATCTTTGCATGACAAACCAGAATATATATGGTTTAGGGGTGGGGATCTTGACCACTTACAAGATATTAGAACTTTTTTAAATTGCATGGGGTCGGGGTGACCCCTGGGGACTAACCCTGTATTTCATTTGATGTGCTTTATCATGACAAACCAGACTATATGGTTTAGGGGTGGGAATCTCGACCATTTACAAGATATTAGAACTTTCTCAAATGGCAGGGGGTCGGGATGACCCCTGGGGACTAACCCTGTATATCATTCAAACCATCTTAGCATGACAAACCAGAATATATATGGTTTAGGGGTGGGGATCTTGACCACTTACAAGATATTAGAACTTTTTTAAATTGCATGGGGTCGGGGTGACCCCTGGGGACTAACCCTGTATTTCATTTGATGTGCTTTATCATGACAAACCAGACTATATGGTTTAGGGGTGGGAATCTCGACCATTTACAAGATATTAGAACTTTCTCAAATGGCAGGGGGTCGGGATGACCCCTGGGGACTAACCCTGTATATCATTCAAACCATCTTAGCATGACAAACCAGAATATATATGGTTTAGGGGTGGGGATCTTGACCACTTACAAGATATTAGAACTTTTTTAAATTGCATGGGGTCGGGGTGACCCCTGGGGACTAACCCTGTATTTCATTTGATGTGCTTTATCATGACAAACCAGACTATATGGTTTAGGGGTGGGAATCTCGACCATTTACAAGATATTAGAACTTTCTCAAATGGCAGGGGGTCGGGATGACCCCTGGGGACTAACCCTGTATATCATTCAAACCATCTTAGCATGACAAACCAGAATATATATGGTTTAGGGGTGGGGATCTTGACCACTTAGAAGATATTAGAACTTTCTTAAATGGCATGGGGTGGGGGTGACCCCTGGAGACTAACCCTGTATTACATTTGATGTGCTTTATATATATATATATATGGTTTAGGGGTGGGGATCTCGACCATTTACAAGATATTAGAACTTTCTAAAATGGCAGGGGGTCGGGATGACCCCTGGGGACTAACCCTGTATATCATTCAAACCATCTTAGCATGACAAACCAAAATATATATGGTTTAGGGGTGGGGATCTTGACCACTTACAAGGTATTAGAACTTTCTTAAATGGCAGGGGGTGGGGGTGACCCCTGGGGACTAACCCTGTATTTCATTTAATGGGCTTTATCATTTAGAACATTTTCAATTAAAAAGATTGTGTTTATCACAAACGGTTTTCAATTTATAATCATTTGAAAATTTTAAAAAATAAAATCCCATAGGGTTCTATAGTAAAACCCTCTTTTCTTTTTGCCCCTCAAAGTACCCCTTTATAAACCCCATTGCACAAACAAAACCCTGATTGCACCACTAGACATGTTAGTCTAACATATTGTGAAACCCCAAGTTAATATGACAAGCGGTTTTGGAGAACAGGTGCGGACAAGTTCAAATTTAAAAGCGGCGGAAGAAGAAGAAGAAGAAGAATAATAATAAGAACTGAGCAAAAACAATAAGTCTTCCCAAACTTCGTTTGGGAGACTTAATAAATCGTAACAAAATTTTGCTATGTTATTGCAAAAATACTGTTTATTCTCATATTCTTTCAATGATCTCAATATGATCCAAAGCTTGTCTAATGATATTTCATAAGTTTACATTCACCTATTGTATTACCTGCAATGATGGAATACTTAATCTAAGGAAAACCATTCCAACAGAGAGATTTTTTAAAAATTTTATCAAATTTGATGAAAACCACCAAATTAAATAAATACAATCACAGTACAACTAATTATTCAAATGTTTGAGCTTCTAAGACAAAATAAAGCATTAATAACTATTTGTTTAATAACATAAAAACAAATGTGTCAAAAAGGAATATCATCCTTAATCCTATGTTGTAGAAGACAACCATTTGGAACATTGGTTCATGACCAAGTTTAGACAAATCAGACATGTGGTTTGTGATAACTAATCAAAATTAGACGGTTTTCTGAAAAGGAGATATATGTACTTTGAAGAGGATTCAAATCTAACATTACATTGTACAAGTAGAATGTTAAAAAAAATATTGTTTCAAAGAAAGTTACCAATCTGAAAGAACTGCATATAATTGTAAAACCAAACTGATTTTTTATCATGATTATTCTAATATCAGTCACTGCCTATTCTGTATCCTTCTTATAAATACAACTTTACTGCATGAAAGAGAAATAATTTGTAGGAAGACTGCATTGAAATTTAAAATTTCCTTGAATCCTAATTTGTTAAATATTTAAAATGATTCCAAGAATTTAATTTACAAGTTATTCATTCATTTGTTTTATGTAATTTATAAAATGAGACTCTTGTAAGTTTTCTCAAACAGTACAGTAGAATGTCAACTATTTAAGACCATATAGTGGCCTCAAGACATTTATTTTTTTGGTGAACCTTAGTAGTTAGACTGAAGTCTCACTGGTGTATATCCCACATCTTTTATTTTTTAAAATCTATCAAACATACCGTAAAAAAATCAATACTTTATCCATTTTAGTGAAATTTTATAAAAATATGTGTACTTCGGCAGACCTTAAACTGTAATGCAGTCATGTATATAGTATTACTACTTATTGACAGAAACAAATTCATCAACAAGAAAACTGAAATCAGAAATATGTTTTGTAACTTAAAACAACAACCAGCCTCTAATTGACTACATTTTTCTGTGGAAAACTATCAAGCAAATTGCTCATATAAGGACTTTACATTGCTAACTGTGTGTTCAATATTTAAATATCCATTAAATGATTGATAAACCATACCATAGTGGAATTTCGATGAAAGGTGGTTATACTCCTGTAAATAATTCCATACAACAAATATATTTGACCTAATACTAATAGTATCTAAGGAACAGACCTATTTACACAAACGCAATGCTGACCAATGAATATAAGGTCATGGTCAAATGAACTCGGCCAGACGGACATGTACATCTTATAATCATTCCATACCATATAGCCATATTCTATTTCTTTTAGTTTCTGAGAAACAGACCTGATCATGAAATCCTTCAAAAGTAATAATATGAAATCAGGTAAAGGGACATTCAATCTGACGGCAAGGATCTAACAACGCTTCATTCTAATTTCTGTTCTATATGACCTTAAGGATCTGACAATGCTTCATTTTAATATCTGTTCTATATCACCTTGAGGATCTGACAATGCTTCATTCTAATATCTGTTCTATATGACCTTGAGGA